AGAGAAAGGAAGAAGATGAACGAATTATTTTATTTTATTTTTTTAAAATATAAATAGTAATAATGTGAGTTGGTATAAAAAAAATTCCACGTCTAATATGTTTTCAATTTGTTTTTGCCACGTCATCAAAAAATTATAAAAAATGCCACATAAGCGAGTTAACGATCGATATTAACAGAAGCACTAACGGAGTGCATTTCGTATAGTTGAGGGATAAAAAAAGTGCAAAAAATTGTTAAAGGACCAAAAATGTGCAACTCACTAAAGTTGAGGGACCAAATTTAGCATTTAACCTTTAATCATTGAATCACCCTATTAGGTTAATACTACTCTTCTTTCTATCACATAAAAACTTAGTCATTTACCAAGAAAATAAAAATAAAAATAAAAACTCAGTCCATGTGCTATTAAAATGGTAAAATATTGTTTTTTAAAATATTAATTTTACTTAATTTGATTAATAAAAATAAGTAATAATTATGACTATTTATTAATAACTAATAAAACAATTGATATATATTAGTTAACAAATTAAAATCAATTAATAAACTGATACATTCAAACACTACTTAAGAATAAAAACTAAAATTTTGATGATCTTAATATTTTTTATAGTAATAATAACTATACCTAATATACTCATGTAACTCTTAAGTATCTCTCCTCAACTATTATAAAGAAGCCATCAATAAAATTAAAGAAATCTCTTTTCTATTCAACTTTAATTCTGTTATTTAACTTTTTAAATATGAATTTAAATGAAAATTTTAACAACGTATATAAAAGATAATTATTTTTTTTCTTATATAATTTTTGATATAATTTTTGTTGAATAATTTTCTTTACTAAAAATTTTTTAATTATAATTTATACTATTTTAAATGTTTATTTCAAATTTATGTTTGAATAATGTAATAGTCAAAATAAATCAACTAAATTTAAAGAAAAGGGAGTAGCTTTTTCATTTTTTTCTCAAGTTCTTTAAATAGAGTTTAGTATATTTTTTTTGCAGCTAGTAACTATAAATCAAGGTCTTAACAAACAATAAAAGCCTTGAAATTTATGAAGAAAAAAGGAAAACACCCTAGAAAAAGATGTTGATTTCGTTCGCATTAGTAGAAGCTAGTATTTCATCCAATAAATTTTCTAATCCTAACATGTTGCAAGATAAGTGTTTACCTCTTTTCCGGGACAGATAACAAATCTTGTCCTTAGGGAAGGACTTTCCCGCCACATCCTCATGAAGATGCTTTCATTCCCCTTAGCCCATAGCTACAATGAAATTTTGGAAGATGAGTTTCTATTTTTTTTTAACGAAAAAGTATTTTACAAGTTAAATTGTTTTTTAAAAATATAGTGTACGTAATTTATGAATTCATTAAATTACTTTTAATGAAATTATTTTTATGTTATTTTGTTAATAATAGTTTAGTGATTTTATTATTTGAATTGCACTTTTAATATACAACCCAATTTATAAAATATAAATCCCTTTTTTTTATAAGTTAGAATCAACCAATATGTAACTCTAACCTACATTATTTATACAAAATTTTAATCATTTTGTGAATGATCTAGATTTATCATGATTTTTTAAATAAGAAAGACAATTATTGTTGTAAAATAATAAAAAAAAAGAAGATAAAAAGTGAATAAATTTTAATTATTCATGTTAGGGAAATGAATAATCAAGATTTTATACAAGTTAATCCAATATATATATATAAAAGATTTGTTGCTTACTATTATAAAATTTTGAACTCCTAAGTAATTTAAATTAAGATTTTTTAAATTAACGAGTATTAACTCAATGAAACTAATAAGAAAATAGTTAATAATAAAGAAAATTTATCATTCCATCATTTCCCTTTCCCTTTTGTTCTTTCAAATTAAACATATCTTAATTAAAAGCCTTTCAAAAATAATTTCATTCCCACCTAGACGAAGTTGTTCTTTTCCAAGCAATTAGCTTTCCTAACAGTTAGTTGGAATTCAAGGTCTTTCCCATCCATAACAAATATAAAGTGCAAATGCTAACAAGTTACTATTCCATCCAATAATTTTCCTAACAAGTTATAATCAGTCAAGGTCTTCCTTGTCCATAACTAACGCGAAAGTGCAAATGCTAAATGTCAAGGTTTGCCTCTTTTTAGGGCAGATAGAGTTTAGTCAAATTGCATATCCCTTCCAATACGATAGAATGGAAAAGTGATTTTATTATAAGAACCGACAATAATACCATGTTTTGGAAGAAATAGTAAGTTAGTCACAGTTTTCCACTAACACATCTAAGTCTTCCTTTAATAATTTACGAGTAACGTCAAGGTTTGCTTCTTTATTGGGACACAGAGAGAACAAATCTTTGTGCTTGT